GTTTCTTCGGTTAATGGTGCGCGAGATTCACAAACGAAGCCGGAACGGATTCGCGCAGCCACCATCTTCGAGTGCCGTCTGCCCACTCGCATTTATTTACATTTCGCTCATTTACATATAGACTTGTTTTCGAAAATCTCGAGAAGGAGAGCGAGTTGCCAAAGAAATGGAAGAGTAAACGAGTCTGAAATAATGGGCAGAAGTGAAAGACACACGAGCTTCATGTAAAAAATTTGTATTCAACGCGTAACCATGTTCCTTCTTAAATATCTAGAAAAATAAAAAGAATATTAACGAGTGTTTTAATAGGAAACATGTGGGACATTGCGCCAGATTAGATTAAATTAATTTATTCGCTGAAGAATCGAGAAACGACAGAAGGTACGAATGGAAGTGGATGATGGCGCGCCAATAAACACTTTTCTCCTTGATTGATGCCTCGTTCACCTGACCCGCCGTCTTGCCAGGTGCGAGTAGACGGAAGAAAAGGAAGCGACGGAAATTATTAATTCTAGCACTTTATTCCGCCGCGTGGCTATGCTCCAAATGCAAATTCCACGCGGCCGAAGCTTTTTCGTCCCCTCCGAAGTCTTTTCCGATCGAATTGGCGTCGCACCGTTTGCCAATCTGCGAGCTGGCGAAAAAACAGTTAAATGCACAATTCGGGGAAAAAAGCACTTTGTATCAGACCAAAAAAGAAGTCGACGGTAATATATATTTTCTTTCGATCACCGAAAACCATTCATATACTGGTCCTGTAATATCGTCTGATCGATGCTATTTTGATTGTAGATTTTTTTTCAGTATTTTTATCTTTTAAACTGACTTAGATACATTTGTTTATTATTATTGCTGACACGTTAGACGTTTTTCTATCAGACAGATTATCATTTTACGCGAGCGATCTTTGTCGCAAATAATATTATTCGCAAAATTTCATCACGGCTGCTGGCGGGACCGAGCGCGTGGCATGTTCCTCGGTGCCGGCTAATAATTATGTGGCACTCTTATACGTGGCGTACCGCACAGGTGTCCACCGTTTTCCTACGTAGCTGCCAATTCCGCGATGTAGCGGGTGTCGTGGAAGCGATCGGCCGCGTGGGAATAGGATCGGGATTTCAAATTAGCCCGCACGGATTTTGGCAGTTTTTGACAAAAAGAATCTTCGCGATGATTCACCTTCGTGCGTAAGCATACGCATTTAGATATCTCCTTAATCACATTGCCTATGTAGTTGTCATTTTTCGACTGCTATTTACAGAAGATAGGGGTAAGAACGCAAACGCCATGTACTTAATGTACAGATATCGGAATGTGAGTGGAGTGTATAAAAAAAGTTCGTTTTTTTTTTAAATTATATTAGGTTTATTAGATGATATCGATTGTATTTTAATTATTGATTCATGCGGAAGAACGATGTATATTTGCGCGCGATGCGGGGGTTGCTTTCTGCGGGATAAACGAGAGCTTCTCATTCATTACCGTGTAGAAGCAGGCGAACAACTTGGTTCGACTTGTGCGTTACTCTTGAAAAATGGGTCAGCCAGGCGGGTTTATAAATACGATAAGATATGCCATCGAGAGAGAAAGAGAAAGAGAGAGAGGGAGAGAGGAGGGGGGAGGAGGGAGGGAGTGGGAAAGCTTTCGTCTTGCTTTCCTGCTTGGCATAACGAAGGGGCGAAAGGAAGATCCAAGTTTCAAGAGTAACGCGTCGCACCTGCCGAAATCGCCCCCCGAAAAAGAAACAAGCGCGCGATCGCGTACGTCTTCCGATTGCCAGGTTCCACGGTCTCTTTCTTTTACTTTCTCTCCTTCCTTTCGTCGCACGTGGTCGAATCGTCGAGAGTCTATCGCCGATTTCCGCGACTCTCGTCCGACATTTCGCGAATTCGCGCGCTCGACGTTATCGAGATCGCCCTCCCCAGAGTCGACGAGGAGCGTTCGATCTGGATGCGGCCCAACTCGCGCATCCAATGAATTATAAAATATCCACGTTTCTGAGAAGGCTTCCGGATCGCGTTATTACGAGCGCTCTTGGCTCGTCTCTAGTAATCGTGGTGGTATTACGACCGCATCGCGAGAGACGGGACGGCGGACCGGGCGGACCCCTCTTGGCGCGTGTCGTTATTAGCTTGAATTAACGGGGGAGCGACTACCTAGCGACCACCTTGTATCGGGTCCGACGACATGTAACGATGATATACCTGCACCTGCAGGTAGGCCCTGCCAGGAGGATGGGGGCCCACGATGGGGGAGTGCCACTGCTCTAACATCACTATCATGCAGCTGTTCCACGAGCTGAAGCAGCAGTTCCCCGCGCTCCCTGATCACGTCGTCTCCCAGTGCATCGCCCAGGTATACAGGTGGCCTTTGTCCGTCAGGAGTGTGCGGTCTCGGGCGCGAATCTTCTCGAGAGACACGCTGAACTAACTCGTCGTCCCTAGTCGCCGCAATAACGACTAACCGCCGGTGCCGGCAACACGGTTTACGACGTGCGACTTAACAAGGATTAATAATTGCATCCCCTCTCCCCTTGCCTTCCTCGCCTGTGTCATGCATCGCTAAACTCATTTGCACGAGCGTGGAACCTGTGTGTACGTTGTTTAAGTGTATAGGTCCTCCCAGGATGGACCGGATGTACCTTTTGTCACGTTTGAATTAATCGATTTGGAAACCATCTTCCTTCGAAGAAATAACGTGTTAAATTTTAGAAGAAAAAAAACACGACAAAGTCACATTCTACCAAATTAATTGGCTGGATTTTAATAAAATTTTAATTACAAGCGAAGAGTCATACGGTACTAATAATTGGATGACATTCTTTGTGTCGATGAAATATCGCAGCTAAATTGACCAGACAGATTATAGTCAGAAGGAACATTCGGTTTCGATTATTCTGGGATCGATTATATATACACTGTAAAAAATTTAATGTCCCAGAAAGTCCACTCTAAATTTTGTGTTAAAATAACTCATGCATTGTGTTATTTTAACACAAAATTTAGAGTGGACTTTCTGGGACATTAAATTTTTTACTGTGTAAGTCTTTCTTAGAACACATGCGTGTAACATGAGCGATTAATTGTAAGCGATCGCGAGGAGAAACGCGGGCTCGGGACGCGTGTCCCTCCTGAGCCGGAAACCGACGTCGGAGACGATCGGCGGCAAGCTGATCCCAGGTACGTGTGCGTTGCAGAACAGCCACGACCGGGAGACATGCGCGAGAAGCCTGCGGGCCACCCAGGAGTCCCGTCCGTCGCCGGGCGCGTTTCCACCCCCGGCCCCCTGTATCGGCGTGCAACAGCCTGTACCACCGTCGCAGTCGCAGCAACCGCAACAACAGCAACAACGAGAGCAGCAACTCGCGTTGCAGCGTTGCTGCACGATGAACCAAACGGTCGCGAGCAACGTCGGCGTCGTCGGGCGTCCCCATCGACCGGCGTCGCTGGACATCGGTATGACTCGTCGCTACCCCCCCGCAGGTTGCACCCGCACCGCTGCCGCCGTCGCCGTCGCAGCTGTGACGCCGGCGTCGTCCAGCGGTATCGTCACCCCCTCGTCCGCGCCGGCCGCCTGCACGTCGCGCGGCTTCTTCGACGACGGTTGCACCGTCAATAGCAACAGCAACGGCAGCATCGCGCCGCCCGGCTTCGAGCTCAACGTCAACGTCGCCTGCAGCCCCGCGGGAAATCGCGGTACGGAAGACGGACATTGTCTCCTTGCTGGAATTGATATTGTACTCGCACCATTTAACGCTGAGAATCCCGAGTTGTAAAGCAGGGACTGCTTTACAAACAAAACCTACGAAAATTGGAAATGGTATTAATTATTTTTCGTGAGAGATGTTTCAAGAAGGAGACACAGCGATTTTACGATGTAAATTACATGTTACAATAATTACATGTTAATATCGAGCGTTAAATATGTGATACGATCAAGCAGCATACAGACGGAGAATTAAATTACGATAGTATACCAAATCAAAAGAGATTGCGGAATGATATTATTTCGCTTGTGATGACTATATAAGAGATAGGATAGGGTGTTAGAAGAGTAATTAAAAGCGAAAGCGGATTGTATAGCAACGCCATATGCTCTTCTCAGAAGATCAGAATCTTGCTCGCTTGCGACATGCTTGTTTATCACGGATATTAGTAGAGATAATTCATTTTAACCGCGCTCATAAGCTCAATTATCATTCGACAACCGCTCGGACGGACCAGTCCGCCAGTTGACTTCGATCACACACCGTCGACTTCTTTTGGTTTCAATCATCGGCTCTAAAGTTCGCGAGATTTATCGGAAAAGCTTTTTTTTCGAAGAGAGTGTATCTAATTGTGATTTTATATCGGCAGATTTTCAAACGGCACCAGCGAGCGGTGCCTGTAAACGAAGCGACCTCGCGGTCGTGCCACGACCTCATTACGCCGAGCCTCTGTTAGCCATCGGGAAGTCCGAGACGCAGATCGATCACACGCGAAGTTACACGTCGGTCAGCCTGACCCTTCGGCCGCCCTCCTCCGAGCCGCAACCCCCGATCGATATTAGGTCGGAAGGATCGAGCCTGACTTACTCGACCTCGTCCTTGGACCCGCGTGGCTTTCAAAGCCGCCTGCAGATCAGCATCGGTCCTGGAAACGTTGGCAGCGTGGCGGCGGCGAGGATCAGACCGCCGATGACTAAGCCGTACATCTTGCCGCCGTGGACTCAAAGCCCACTGCGGTCGCCTGGTACGTTTTTTCGATTTAAAACGATATAATTCAGACTTAGCTTCGAGACACAAGAGTTTAATTTATATTTTAAAAAGATTTTATATAATGTAGAAAGAGATTTTATCGAGGAAGAGAGAGAAAGAAAATATATATATTTGTGTAGACTATGATGTAATATGAAACACGAAGCGTAGTGTAGGCGTGTGTATACGAGGTATTCTCAGACGTCTAATTTTAGTAAAATAAAATTACAATTCAATAAAAATTAAGAATATAGATTCTCTGTATTCGTTGAAGAATTTATTACTAAAATTAACACGACGGGGTTTGCCTGTATCGCACTCAGAACTTCCGCCAGAACCACCGAACCAACTGCCAAGGCCTACGACGACGATGAGCGCGCCGACTACACCCTCCATACCGCCGACGACGAATATCGTCCTAGGTTGCAGCCTCCCGACGACGCCATCCGGGCCCACGACGAGCAGCAGCGGCGTCGCGCCTCCCGCCGTCGCCACCTCTTCCTCCATCGGGGACCACGCAGCTTCCGATCGAAACCGATCGCCGTTGTGCCAAGGTGAACACATGGATCGGGTCGGAACGGGATGACACGCAAACCGATATCGTCGTCGCCGTGCTCTAGCAATTGCAGAATCGCGCGCACGTGTATATTTACCTGGAAGTCACTCGGTCGCACGTACTACGCCCACGCACGCAACGCCGGGAACGATATTTACGCATTCCTGACCCCACGCTCCGGGCTATACATAGCCGCGCGCGCCCGCGGTTACAACTACGCGGACCACCTGATCCGGTTTTTCTGATCGCGAGAGTCCGCGCGCTATCGACGCATTTCCTGGACGCTATTACGCTAAATGGTATATACGTTCGCGAAGGTCTTCCGCGTTTTTCCCTTTCCGATACGCGATCGAGGAGCACGACAATGCTGTGAGCAACGCGGAGAACCGTTGCGACCGTTAATTTGTGATGCAGATGTGACAGCTGATGAAACTGTCTTGTATCTAATCCGTCATCGTAGCGATCGATAAAGTCCGAATGAGGCGAGGTGATATATGATAAAATTAATGAATCATCATTCGCGACAAAGTAGAATTAGAAAATCGCCATGATTGAAGTAAGCTCTGAAACTATTTGACTCGCCTCGTGCGTCGCAGTGCGTGCATGCCAACTAAAATAGTCCTTGAAATTTTTTAGTGGAGGAACATCAAAAGAAATTAGTTGCGGAGCAACTGGCCAGGAAGGAGAGGCTCGCCAGGGAACTAAGAGCTGAGAAGGGACGACTCGAAGCGATGAAGAAAGAAGTGCAAGCGTTAGCTCGACCGGTCGATCCCTCGGTATCGCCTCAAGTACGTGGCAATGATGATTGATTATCTTTTCGATATGTATCTCAACGCGTGATTTTTGTGCAGGAGCTGAAGAGAAAGCTGAGGAGCGAAATATATATGCTGCAAGTCGAGTGCGACAGATTGGCCGACGAGGTTGATCAATGGTCAGACAGACGAGGTATCTATTTCCTATCGCGCTGTCGCGGACGAAGTTAGGAGCGACTAGCGAATAACTCGTACTTTCAGTACCATTGGGCGAGACCAACGAGGAGTTTTATCAGGGCATTTATACCGGCCAGTCGTTGCCAACGAGACTGCCGAATCACCAACCGCCGCGCTTACCGAGTCAACCACCGGCGTGGCGGCCGGAGCAGCCGACGACGGTCGCGAGTGATAATGACCGGGAGGAACGGGACGAGCCCTCGTGGGTCTGCACCATGTGCACCTTCGACAATCATCCATTGATGAACAAGTGCGAGGAGTGCGACATGCCGAGACTGTTGAACCGCGGCAGCAGTGCAGGTATAAGCTCCAGCAAATCGACGAGAGAGTTGCCGTCGACCTCGTTGTCATCGTGGTGATAGTGAACCGTCTCGAACGCTACTCCGATTACACGAAATAAAATATTCAGCGTCGCCTAACAGCATGCCGACTTTTGTTACATTCTTCACGAAAACTCGTGAAGGCCGTTTCCTGCGATTATACTAATCGATTGGATTTTGATAACGCGATGAAGCGCTTGAATAAAAGTGATATATTTTATCTTACTGTATTTAAAATAAAAAAAAACTCTAACAGAGTGTGAGAGTGTTGTTATAACTATGTTATATATATAGAAATTGTGTACTTAATTATGATTAATTATATTAATCAGATTTTTAGTAGAATAAAGGAGAATAGAGCTTGCGATTCTGTTCTCATTTGTTAGAAATATATATGTGTGTGAATTTGATTTGTTGAATTTGATATCGCATGAAAATTAACGTTCCATTCATAAATCATACATCTTTTATTTCTAAGCTATTAACGTAAATTGATATAGCATTGATATTTCTTGGCGAAATGTCATCTTTGTTTTTAACTCGCAAGGTAAGGAAAGGAATTTTATGCCTGATGAATTATATGTAATATTTTGTTAAATTTTTTGTGGCGATAATAAGAGTCTCGAATTTTCAGGGGAGACGCAAGATATTCATATACGAGTAACGCATCACCACAATTTTTCGCCACGGCGTGAGTATACTTTATACCGATGCTTCCGTTCAAATCAAATTAATATTTTGCAAGTATAAAAACTATTTACTTTACTTCTAAAATAACGACGTATTATTTTTCCAGATATAGTGCACAGTTGGGTGGTATGATGCGAACTGAATTAGAAGTTTTCAAAGAACTGTACATACATATAAAAAAGGATTATTATTTAAATTAAATAAACAAATTTTGTAGGGGCTAAGTGATTGTAATAGAAGATATGTGACTAATGTAATAATTTAACTTAATTTTTTATTTACGGTTAGTGCACATTGCCCGTTTTCTGGCAATTACATTTCTCTCTTGTCGAGGTAACCTCTACGCGTTTTCAGATTTTCGCATATCGCAGAGATTAGGCGCCAGTAAAAGCAACAAAAGATACATTCTACTAAACACTACAAAATTCTTTTCCCTCCAGATTCTTATTTGTATAAAAAGTCATCGTATAATACGTAAAATACAAGTATTTGTGATAATTACAGCAACGTTTTTCCGTTATATAGCCGTACCCCTCTCCAAGTTTAGCTTCGTTTCCCGAGTATACTCGCCGTAGAATCTCTCCAATTTCTGATTGAACTTGGCGTTACGCTCGTTGATATAATCGATATCCGCGTCGTCATTGTGCATTCTACGTCTACTGTATTTCTCTCGTTTTGCAATCCTGCAAAAAAAAAAAGGAAAAGATGCTAAATCCAAGTCTTATCAGAGATTGCATTATTTTAATAAAAGATCGAAAATGTTACTTACTGCTTCTCCAAATTGGTAACCATTTTATCTACCGCTTCTTTTTTGTCTTCGTGCAAACCGTGCAATATCGTGTTCGGATCGCCGTAAAAAGCAGGTCCTAACTTCTCCTTCGCCTCCTCATATGCCTCCATGTTCGGTTTAACGTTTTTCACCAGTCTGTTGTAACAACGTATCGCCGCTTGCTCGTAGTCCGAGAAACCTGGATCGGGATTCTGTTTGCTTTTCTTCTTCCTGGCTATTCTCTCTGCTTCCGTGGCATCGATACTCAGCAATTTTTTCCGTTCGTAGTCTTCACCCTGAAAAATCAGTTAAGTACGCAATGTAAGTTACATAATTTCATACATTTAGTTAAAAATACAATGAATCTTGGTACCTTAGTCTCTGCCTCTTTTCTAGCAGCTTCGTCCTGCATTATCCACTCGGCCTGCCTCTTGCGGGATTCCCAATTGGCAGGCAGCTTGTTCCTCTTATCCTCCTCCACGACTTCCTTGTGGTTCTGCATTCTGGCCTCGTTCTGTTAAATCAATGCTTTATAGACAAATCGCGACGATAAATTCCAATAACGAGTACGGTTAGAATTAAAAAAATCAACATTCTTGCAAATAAAGGAAAGAAATAAGACGTTTAAAACTTGAACAGCATCTTTGGAGTATCGGAGTTAGCTTCATCTCAAATTCTCGGAATAGGTTAGCTTCGTTCTGTTATGAACTTACCCTCTTGGCGTGCAGTTCTCGGAGTCGTTTCAGCCTTTCCTCGTGCTTTGTCGTCGCGGATTGCGCGGACGACGCACTCGGCCCAGCGTCATCCATCGTTGAGTAAAATGAGATGCAATTTTCCAAACTCGGGCGGACCAACGTAAATACGTAAAGACGGCAACTCGAGAAACTCGTCAATACTGGAGAGAGAGAGAGAGAGAGAGAGAGAAAGAATTTTCGTGGTGGGACGCCATCTACATTCTTGAAGTGCGGATGCAGAACTACGTAGCTGCGTACATGTCAACCTTCTGACATCAAATACAAACGTGTGCTCGAAAGATAGAGCAAGAAAATCGCAGTTGGAAATTACCTACCAGTTGGAAACGTTTACGCGTAAAATATAATAATCTACATCAAATACAGTTTAAAGGAACCAATCAATCAATCAATAAATCAATCAATTATTCAATTTATAATAATTTACATTGCTAATAATAATTATATTGTTTGCAATCTATATGAAAAAGATTCGTACAAATATACAATGTAAAAAAAAACAATCCATATAGATAATAATTTTGAAATTTATCACAATTGGAAAATTGATCGACCGATGTTACAATCGATCCACCACGTCGCTCTATCGTCGTTACCGATTCGCGAGATCTCACGCGGACGTCACGAGCGGAAGAGAGAGAGAGAGAGAGAGAGAGAGAGAGAGAGAGGAGAGGCGCGTTACCGGCGAAGGTCACATCTCGTTCAAGTGACGCGACGTATACATATATACGGGGATCGATCTCGCGCCCGCGCGCGACGTTTCGGAGCTCGGAGCGGTGCGAAGATCATCAGCGCCGTGATATGTACCTTACGGTCATACGCGATACGCGTTCGCCAGTGTTCCCGTCGGGTCCGATCGATCCACGTTCGCCGACGTTCCGGCTACGTACCGGCCGCGGATCGCATTATCGAGCTTTATCCCTCGCGCGACGCGTGACCCATGGCTCGATGAAGCGCGGGGCGCGGTGCGACTTGACACGCACGCTTTCCTCGTGCCCTCCTCTTCTGCCCCCTCCCTCTCTCTCTCTCTCGCTCCGTTCCACTTTCCACTCCGCTTTGCTTTTTCATGGGCTTTTCTGGATTCCCGCGGGTAGGGCGCGGATGTACACGAGCGCGAGCGCATACGGGTGCAGGGCACTGTAGGGCAGGGCGCGCGCCGGGGAGTCCGGGGACACGGAGCGGAGCGAAGCGCGGTGACTGGTGAGGGACGGTGAGGCGTTCAGCGGGGACAGAACGGGATAAAGCGGGCCGAGAACCGAGCTGAGGTGCGCGCGCGCGAGCGCGCGTGCGACGTCGCGCGGCGCGAGCGAGTGAGGGCTGGTGTGTTGCTGAGTTGCTGAGACGGTGAGACCGCGACCGCTGAGAGGCGAGCGGCAAGGCAAGCGCGAGCCAGCCGAGCAGCGACGCGCGCGAGAGAGAAGTTAGCGGAGCGAGCGTGGCGAGGCCGAGGGCCCCGGAGTGCTGCGCGGGCATGGAGACCCTCGAATCGAGCCGCGTGTGCCGCCTCTGCGGCCAGCACTCGGGCATCTCGATCAACATCTTCGACGAGAGCGAGAATCACGTCCGGAAAATCAACGCCGTGCTACCCATCATGGTACGTCATTACGCTTTCTCTCTCCCTCCCTCTCTCTCTCTCTCTCTCTCTCTCTCTCTCTCTCCTTCTCTCTCGCGCTCGAACGGCCGCTCGCACGTACGTTCGCTCCTTCGCGCCCTCTCCTCCGTCTCCGTTTCTTTCCAGCGCTGAGCGTTCCCCTTTCGCGACTCCCTTCTCCAATTCCAATCGGGAGGGTATCAGGGTATGCGCCCGCGTGCACTCTCATCGTCCTTGCACAACGACGGGACCAGAGCGACCAGAGCGCACCCTCCACCCCCCCTCCCCCTGCCGACCATCTCGTTACGAAACGCAAGGTCCGTTCTCTTTATTAGCCGCGCGCGTGGAGCGCGCTTTCTTTCGACCCTCTCCCCCTCCATCCTCCACTTCATTCGACGCTCCAGCGGCTTCAGTTCGTTTCTCTACATCCATTTCGGCAAAATGCAGCATGCGGCGAAAAAAACAAGATAGGACTTCCGCGTTCGCGTGCCGTAACTGCCAAGTCAGCGAACGCGGGAAAGCAGAATCCCGCGCGCGGGGGAGAGTAGGGCCGAATAGGGCACCCTTTGTCCGAGAGCGGGACACGCGTCGCCGACCACGTGCGAGGGGCGCCGGGGCTCCCCGCGGGGACGAGGGGGAGCGATTTCTCGGCTCTTTTTTCGGGGGCAAAACTATCGATTTGCGCAAAAAGTGAGGTTATCGTCGGTTTTGCGCGCGAAACGAGAACGCGCTCCGAAATGTCCGGGAGCGCGGATTACATTGCGTAATTGGAAAAGAGCGAGAGAGGGAGAGATTCGAGTGATCTCATAGGCTCCTCGTGGGCGTCGGATCGCGGCGGTTTCGCGCCACAGATTTTTTGCATCGACGATCCCCTCGGAGATCTCGACCGCACTCTTAGAACTTTTCTTTCACTTTTTTCACCACTTTTTTTTCTACATTTTAACGTGAATCACACATTAATTGTAATGGATATTGCAGAAATTAGTATTTTGTTTCGCCAGTAATAATTAACAAACAGTTATATATTTCGACCTGGACCGCAGTCACCTTTATTAAACATTAAATTAAATTGTCACGATCTTTCGACCATGGTTCTTATCAAACGCTAATCTAAGTCAATAACTGTAGAAATGTAGCTATTATACAAAAAACATCCTTGCCTTTAAGAGGTAGTGTTAAAAAAAAATTTATAATTTAAAAGATGTTTTGTAAGTTTGATACAACCTCATGAAGGAGAAGCTGTTTTTGTATAATAGCCACATTTTTACAGTTATGACTTATTGTTAGATTAGTATCTTGACAAGAACCATAACCCATGGTCGAAACAAAAACATCGTGACAATTTAATATTTAATAAAGGGTGGCCAGGTCAAAATATATAACTATTTGTTAATTATAATAAATATGTAAAAACTTATATTTAGGAGAACAATAAAGTACGAATAATTGACGTCAATCTATATTAGTTGTAATAAATAAACGACAAAGAAAATAGCTAGCTCATTGATAAGATTACAATAGGTAACATTTTTTCTGACAAAAAATAATTAGTGCATATTTTTTAAGTGTTTGTAAATATTGTTTCCAATCAATCCGCATTCAGACTCAAAATTAGTAAATCAATTTGTTCTGAATTTATTTTCACGTTTCAAGTTTGTAGCGTTACTTTCCAAATTAAGTAATCGAGGCAATCTTGAGATACGATATCTTCGAGTTAGCCGATCTATTCGCGTAAATGTTATCGCACACGTGCGTAATGGAAAGGGATAAACAATTCGAAGTCGCCATAAATTGCGTGTAAAGAGCATTTATCACTTAATATTGTCATTTCGCTGAAATTTGCTTCAACGTGTGTTTTTACATTTTCAGCTGTATTTTTTATATTAAATTACTATGGAGACCGGGGCTAACTCGACACTATTTTTTCAAAGGCAATTTTTAATATGTAATTAAAATTTTTAGGTAAATTCAATGGTATATATTTAAAGAGTGTTCTTTCAGGTACAAAATTGATTCAGAAAGTTTTGCTGTACGTCGCTTTGTTTTGCCACCAGGAAAGGAAAAGTGACGCGAAGACAAATTTTCGAATTGAAAAATGCCGGGGTAAACTCAACACCCCGCCGGGGTAAACTCAACACTTTGTCTGATCGACACAATTTGATCTGGAACTTATTTTTTACTGTCTGAAAATGAAAATACATTGTTTATTGTGTATTTAAAAAATACAAAAATTTGGAATAAAGTAGCTAGAACAATCATAAAATAATGAGAACAAAAATTGTTGAACTTTCAATTATTTTCATCTAAACTCATGTCTGAAAAACAATTAATGCAGGTAAACTCGCGATGGGACGTGCGCATACATTTGTCATGAGCTATACGGCTGCATGACAAGCATCGTTTGTTACTGGGAGCCGAAAAAACGGCGTGGTGTTGACTTTGCCCCGGACGTCGTTTTTCACTTTTGTCACTTCAAAAATATGAAAATATCCAATAACGATTATCGGATTCATATAGAGCATCAAATTTCCCATGAAAATCACTTACATATAGGTTTGCAAGAGTAAAGCTCGATGAAAGAGTCGAAATTTTCGAGAGATCAGAAAAATTACTTTTTACCTTCAAAAACGCTTATGTCGCGCTAAAAATTACACCATAACTCAGAATGTCATCAAATCCCGTTGATAATACTAGCACATAAAGACGCATTTACAGTAGGAAAGGCAAGTTTCTACGATAGATATAAATTAGCAAAAAGTCTAGTGTCAAGTTTGCCCCGATGTCGAGTTAGCCCCGGTCTCCCCTATATATATACATACATATACATATATATACTATATATATACATATATATATACATAATGTTATAAATTTATATTCAAAATACTATATACTTATATATTTAAAATATAAATCAAGGAGTAGGGTAGAATCTAGAAATCTGTTCTAGAACCAGTATGTCGTTATACGATTCTTTGAAGTAATTAGCGAGAGCAATATGGATGGGAGCTAGGAGCGAGTATATTAATAAACGGAAGTTTCCAAGCTTGAATGGCATGTCATTCTTCGATACGCATATCATGTGACAACGCACGTGTTTACTTCTCTTTCTCTTTCTATACAATTCGACAATTCAATCTTGCGATTACTCGATATTTCGTATCTCATCAATGACCGAACAGCAATTACGACGATCGAGGCGTCCGGTGTAACAAGAACGCAGTGATTTTTTTTCATTTTTTATTCTTGCAAGTACTTGGAAACGTAAATCTTGGAGAAAATGAATTTTACGCCTGCCAAAATTGACTTGAATTTAGATTATTCTTCTCAAAATTAATTTCTTCATAAAAGATCGAATCGAACGAACTCCTCGATCGGCGATTGATTCTCCGAGAACTCGCAGGTCCTTTTGATTCCTATGTGTTTGCTATGCGTTTCCCAGGTGCACGAGATGGATCTACTGCCGAAACAGATGTGCCACCGGTGCAGCTACAAGTTGGAGGAATTCCACAAGTTCTACGTAGACTGCCTGAAGACGGACGCGGCGCTGAAGAGTCAGCTGTCGTGGATGCGGAAGGGTGGCGGTAAGGAGAAGATTGGCGTGCCGATGGTGCACATCGAGAACGTGAAGATCAAAGCGGAGCCGCTCGACTACGACGTGTACGAGCTGGAACCGCTGGTGGAGAACATCGACTACATCAACTCGATGAACTCGGTGGCGTACCCGACCGGCGGCATCCACGACGGATTGACATACGCGGCGTTCTCGCGCTATCGATGCTGCTGTGATAAGAAGGACCAAAGCAGATCGACGAGAACCACAGCGGGGCTCTGTCAGAATTACGAGGGACAGATGCCTAGATGCGGCAGAATCGCGGACGTCTCGCGGAAGAGGACTCTCGAGGACACCACCGCGCGGTTAAAACCGTTCAAGCGAAATCTCTTCACGCAGTCGGTGTTCCCGGATTGCCCGCAGAATCGTCCGCCGCGCGTCGAGAACGCCGTCGGGAACGCGCGAGATAATCTGGCCACAGACACGAGTACCAAAGATGACGTAGCTTCTCCGGAAACGCGGAATCATTTTCACGGTAGACTCGAAACGTTTCCTGAGAGCCGGGCGCTTGCCAAGAGCACAATAGTGCGGAATCTGAGACCCAGGAAAAATCTGGTAAACTATGCATCGAATAAAAAGAGAATGTCGAGTGTCAATCCGGGACCATCCGCGTTAAGCAAGTCGAACGTTTCCGACACGAAGACGACGTCCACCTCAAACCTCGAGCCGACACGGCAGATCAAGGTGGAGCTGACGGACGAACCCAAAGGGCGCAACTTAAGGCCGAGAAGGAGTGTCGTAGACTACCAAGAGCCAAAGATGAAGAGAAAAGTTTCGGAGCATCGCACGAAGAAACGCAAGATGGACGAGCAGAGCTCGAAACTGTATTCAAACAACAAGAGTGCATCGGACACTCCAAACTTGAAAGTAAAACAGGAGGTTCTAGACGATTTGGAGGCTATGGTGCTCAGTAAAACGACCAATGCGACAGCGGCACCTCGATTACCGAGCAAACTCGTCGCGTTACCCGCGAATGTTGAAGCAACGACGAACAACGGTGACGTCAGTCAGCGAGATTATCTCAAGTCGCAATTTCGAGGTCAGTTCCAGCTGGCCGAGCGAAAGTCGCTCCCCAACATTGTGAAGAACGGCTTGGTGAAGACGAAGAAGACGTGTCGGTTTCCCGCGGCGAACTACTCGCCGAAGTGCCTGAGAAGTCAGGACGCTTGCTTGAGGAACGGTAAGACGAGAAGGAGCGATTTTATGGAGTGGTCGGTGAAGAGGCTGCAAGCGAGAAAGCTGATGGACACGATTAACAAAGGTACGAAGAAGTCACCGATGCTAAAGCTATCCGAGAACATCAAGCACTATTGCGAGTCGTGCAATGTCAGTTTTATGACTAAGGAATTGTTCAGATTGCATGCGTGCTACTACGATTGATCTTTCCCAAGAGACACCAAGTCCACGAACTGTCTGAAGATCGTTCGAAAAATTAAAATGTCTTCTAGATATCTTTGTTGTCGTTCGGAGAACGACATTAGGACACTTCTGACGAAGTATGAAAGATGTATAAAGGATTAAAAAATCTTTGTGATTGTATGACAATGTACATTATAGATCTTTCAATTTACTTCTGATTTTTTCTTTTGAATATTTTTTTCTTGCTCATAAAATGAAAAGTGCTTTTGTTTAAGTTTAAACATCTTATAAGGATAATAAGATGATAGTTCATATAAAATGTGCCTGTCCCTAAAAATTTGACCAAATTCTTATACTTATTTTTTTTCCGACATTTTACATTAGCTGATTATATATGCCTTTTTCTTTCTTTTTGGAATCAATTTTCTTGATGAAATCCAGATAGATCATTTTATTAAGATTATCAAGTGTAAGGGTAAATGAGAAATAGCTGCTATTTCTCATTTAATAGCAGGTTTAATAGCAAATTCTTTATGTACATAATGTACTTTATTTAGATTTAATATTATCTGTTACTATCTATACTATATGATTTATATTCAATAAGCGATATATATGGATATATATTATATAAATATATATAATATTTAGGTAAAAGTTTACAATAACTTACACAGCTCGGATTACTTTGACATTGACATATGTTGTCAAGGACATAATACTGAGTAACTTTTCCTTATAACTTAGTCGGCGGTCGCTGCTTATTAAAAAGTTATAAACAAAAAAAGTTTGAAAAATATAGCAGTTATTTTGAATATTGGAAGGCATAAATGACTAATATATATGTCGAAATAGTTCACGCATACACTTTTCACGCGAACCGAGGTTCACCCACACCCCCCCTGCTTTCGGGGGAGGTGCGGTAGCTCCGAAATAGTTCACGCATACACTTTTCACGCGAACCGAGGTTCAACCACCCCCCCCCCCGCTTTCGGGGGAGGTACGGTAGCCCCGAAATAGTTCACGCATATACTTTCACGCGAACCGAGGTTTACCCACACCCCCCCCCTGCTTTCGGGGGAGGTGCGGTAGCTCCGAAATAGTTTACGCACGGGTAAGTTGACGCGCTTTAAACAATTAAATACTGTTAAAGCGCGTCATCTAACCTATGTAGATTAGTGACGCGCTTTAAACAGTTAAATACTTGTAAAGCGCGTCATCTAACCTACGTATTTTCCAAACTTTTTTTGTTAATAACTTTTTAACGAATAACGAGCAACGGCTAAAACCTTCTGAAGGTCACTCGGGGTCATGACCTTGACAACATATATCAAGGTCATTGAAATCGGTGAGGTCGCCAAACTTTTTTTTGTTAATAACTTTTTAATAAAAAAAGCGACCGCCGATTAAGTTATAAGGAAAAGTTACTCAGTATTATGTCCTTGACAACATATGTCAAGGTCAAAGTAATCCGAGCTGTGTAAGTTATTGTAAACTTTTACCAATATTTACTTATTATATATAGTATATATATATATATATATATATATATATATATATATATTAATAACAATATTTGTATATATATTTTATATATATGAAACTATATATGCAATATAGTTTCACTTATCATATATGTATAATTTTATAATATATATATATTATACATAATATGTATTATAATGTAATACATATATATATATCCATGTGCATACTTAGATCTTGTTTGCTGACTTAAATACGTTGAACTGTGACAACTGTTACAACATACGCTTAAGATTTTATGTAGAAATTCACAAGTCGCCTTCAAAGATTGAGAAATAATTAAGATATAGAGATAGAGGTATATTTTATGAGAAACAAGAAATATATAAATATATATATTATATGTCGATATTTTCGATGAAAACATGTGATATGTGTATGAAAATAACGACCGATTTTTTGGAGAACTCCAAATTATGTAAGTTAACGGATATAACAATTGAAAATTGATCTTTCTACTGGTACATCGCAGGTTTTTTATATATTAATATCGATGATCTCCATAGTTTGACGATTGTTTCTCATTCGAAAGAATTACATACTCTGCGTAAAAAAGATTTAAAGACACAGTTACTTTGTGGCTGTTTAATATGTTAATTCAGACTTGCATTAATCGATATTGGACACACGCAGTGAAATATTTGTTAAGTAGTGACTAATTACACTCTATTTTTTTAGCGTTGTTGAAAATTAAATTGATTAATATCACATTATGTCGTTAAATCTTTCATTCATTCGGCGATTATATCGATAAATTACATCAATAAACTGCATATAAGTTTGTGCAATCCCTTAATTGCTGCAAAGCGTTTCTCTGAATTATCTGTCTGTCGATACACAAATAAAGAAATAGTTACTGTTATGCGGTAGATATATCTTTCTCATATCATTTAACTGATTAATAAATGTTATATATAATTATATATACGTGTAAATTATGCAATTGCAATTATTATAAAATCCTCGTCCTGATCCCATCGTTTTTCTCTTGTCTTCTTAAAAACTCTACATGTAATATATAATATTAAATGACACTGTTATGAAGACACGGCAAGTCGAATAGCAATAAAACGTTTCGAAAAGCTAATTTCTAATTTTCTAATTACGTTTTGTTAACGATATTGCGACTAATGTTTTAAGGAAGAGATTTTATCGTGCAATCTGCATTTAAACACGACTTTATAATTTATACGCTGGAGAAATATTTTCGTGTAAAATATGAATTTTTTTAAGTATATTAAACAGGCCGAAAGCCTGAAACTTTAATTTTAATGTTTTTTTCGATAATAATTGGTCCTGTATTAAAATAAATCTAGAACATTAACTCATTTGCTTCCTCATAGAAGAAGCTTTGTTTTCATAAGATTCGTATATGGACCTTTGATCGCATATAAAGCTAAGTCAAGAGACACGGTACACGGTAGTGTCTCGCGCCAAGTACACGCGGAGCGAGACCGACCGTGACTTACACGACGCGACGAGTTGCAAGTACTTGAAATGTTGATACAATTTACTTTAATTATTTAATTTACAACAAGATATTCTTATATTTGAGGGTATTTTGTAAGTTATTGATACAAATTAATCTATCTTCAACAGTTCGTCTATGTGCAAACTATGTGGAGGCTATCGTCACAGTTCGACAAATTGATCCACAAATGGTTTTAAAACTCAGAAGAGTGCGAGATTTGTGATTAGACACGATGATCGATTAGAGCTGCTCTACGGCAAGCATGTCTACGAAATCGAGTTTATTCCACCGCCAAACGTGGAAAATTTTGCATTGAGAAAGAGGTTGAATGAGTCGGAAACTGAGAACAAGGCAAAAATGTTGAAGTTGAATAATTGCTCTGCTAATCGCTCTGTAGCCCAGTAAAATAACAAAATTTGGAGGAAATAATACTGACTGGGCTGAAACTTTGTAAACAGGCTTGTTTTAGGGTACTATTTAACATATTAAAAGTCCCCACAAGTAGACGCTACGTTGCGGGCAGGGGAGGGTCCAAAAGGTCCAAAAAATCAGTTTTTTGCAAATAACTAGGAAAATATCAACTTTACGGAAATTTATGTTGATATAAAAATTGTAGCTTACAAAATTTCGCACAATTTCATTTTTTATTTAAGTCTGTACGACCAAATAGAGCAGAGATAGGATTTTTTTAAACATCGGTAGTTTTGCGACGCAACGAAAACGCGTACGCGTGTCGCGCATTTTTCGCTAATATCTCGAAAATGGACTCTTAAATCTAAAAATGTTTTAAATAACAGTTGTAGAGAATCTAATTACGAACAATTTCGTGTTTTATTCATTTCTGTACGGTCCAAATTCGCCGAGTTATTAATTAAAAGACAATTTTATTTTATGTTGATAGTGGATGGTTTTGCATGTAAAAATCAGTATTAACTCTGAAAGTATAGGTCGTACACATATAGTATGTATAATTAAAGTTAAAGAGAATAAAATTTGGAACATGTTGATGTATGCATGAATCCATTTTGGTAAAAATAGCTTGAAGTTAAGAGCAAAAAACATGAAAAAATGTTATTTTTGAGTGCATTTTGGAAAATAATTTTTTCTGATTGGTTGGAGGCAGTATTATGTATTTTTCTTGAAAATATTTTAATTATCTTTAAAATGAGACGTCGTAGACCTTTTTTCATTGAAACGTTAATGAGTTACAGGCATTTAAATATTGAAGAAAATCGGACTCTTCTCAATCTTTAGTACCTATGTACAGTACTATCGGTCCTAAAAATATCGGCCTAGTACCAAACGATTCAGAAAAACTCCAAGAATAACTTCTGACACTTCAATAAGTACAGAAAAATTGTTAAGGACACGTTTTTTCATCATTTCAGGCGACTCATAGTGATGATCTGCTACATATACGTAAACTTACCTGTCTTTTGAAACGCCAATTTCCCATCACAATGTATTCAAAATTACATGCCATATACTCTATTTTATAGGAAATTTTGTCAGCTTTAATTTCGGTCTTTTGAAGTTTTTTAGTAAAGTTAATAGAAACGAAGATATTTACAAAAATAGGAATGATAATGCAATTTTTCCATAATTTATCAAAAATACAGCAATATTCATGAACATTTTTTTAAAATAAAACATACTTTGCAAAGGACTTATACTACTCCAGCACGTTTATATATATATGAAGTAATGAAAACAAGGTAAAATAAATTTTGGAAAAATTATTATCCATATATTTTTGGACTAAAATGTTAATTTAAGGTAATCCTTTCACCTACGCACCTACTCAAGTAACAGTCCGTCATGAGGTAATTGAAAACAAACATTGCAACATTCCAATAATTATAATAATATAAAATATGATTTTACACGCACGATTTAATCGTATTGAATTATTTACTAATTAAAAAAATATCACATAGTAGTTGGACTCGATTTATGTTAGGTCAGGCATGACAGACGGACTGCGTTCGGAAGCGTCACTCGGGTGCGCATCTCTTCTCCTTCTAACTTGCTGAGATAGAAGGAGAGGAGAGTGTACTCGTGTACGCTCGGGTGACGTTTCCGAACGCAGCCACGAGTAAATAAAGCAATATGCGATTGGATCCACTACTTATTTAACCTTATACATCACAGCAAAACTTGTGCTAAGCCCATATTTTCAAGGTACGTACGAAATCCGGAAACTTCAAGGAACATGTTAAGACATTAATAATGTATTCATCTAATCGCTAAGTACATGTATTATTCGTTGAAAACCTCGGCTGTGGCGATTTGCATCATTCTATCTTCCTCGTTTATAAGCCGTTAATTTAATCTACAAAACAGTCGGCGTAACGTGGGCGCAGGCGTTGGAAATAAAAATAATTTATTTCTCCTGCGCCGTTGCGCCGCGCCGCTACGATCAACAACAACTTCTTGCGCCTGCGTCTGCGCCCTTACGCCGTCTTACGCCTTGTCGTGTAGACGAGCCTTTAGATGTAAACAAGGATAGAATGACAATAACACGCTCCGCGAACGTATGTACATTTAGAATGACTTATTTCTTGTAAAGTTGTGCTAACCTCATCTGATTTTTCGTACACATG